TCGATTTAAATGATAAATTGAACAAGATCAGCATACTGCGTAAATATTTTCGAATAAATAGCCTAGTATTTGCTTCACCATACCTACGGTTTTGATTTCTATAAGGTGAGAAGTTTTCGCGTTACTTAATAATACCTTGAAGTTATTCTTACTTCCGTCCTGTTATCATTTAATGTTATAAAGCTGGTCTTTAACATTCCTTACAATTTTTTGATCAGATGTTGGATGAAAATTGTGTTAATAAAATATCTTTCTGTTTAAATTTTTAAAATTATTAATTTTGGTCAACGATCAGGCGTAAAAAAAACAAAGGTTTCTTACATTATATCAATATCATATGTATTAGATTTAATCTCCTGTTTTTATATTAGTTGTATTAACTCTACCTCTTTAATATACTTTAGCAAAGCCTGTATAGCTAATAAAATAAATTCATTATGTTTAATGAACACTTTCTTTGCCATGATCAAGATGGCTGGGTAAATTATTATAAGCATTCCTTTCTTTTATGCTTACAATAATAAATAATGCTAATTCTATCATATTCAGGGTCCTTGGAGACTGAATGTAACTGATCCCGATCTTGCTTTATGCTTCACCGAAGGGTATTCCATTTTTTGTTAATTTTCTTTATCTTTTAACTAGTCAAGTGGTGTTAACTTGATGTCTCTGTGATTTTTTTGTGATTTTTATAAAGGATCTTCATCATGCCAATAAACCTTTTAATGTTAGCTTTTGGTTCTCTCGAAATTTATCATCTTCTTAAAAAATTTGCTGTCATTCCAAGTCAAGGATTACGAAATTGGCACTATTTTTTAGAGAGGGTATTTACTATATTCTCTTACCCAACTGTTCCACTTACATGTCGGCATTCTCGTTTAATGTATCTTTGTGGTTTCTTCAGATTTCTCTATCATTTCTTATTATCCTCAGCGGAATAATGTTAATGTTAACTCTAAAGGATAGTGAATGGCAAATATTAGACTTATTTGTTATTTCTGCTATCGTTAACTTAGTTGCAATGGCAAGTAGCATTGGGCTTTCTTAAGTAAAAAAAATATGTATAGTAAAAAAAACTTATAAGGTTCATTTATAGATCTTTGCATTATTCCTTCAAAAAGCGGCCTATACCAACAGTCACTCTGCATCTTCTGTCCTGCTGCTCTATTGGCTTTTCTATATTGTCATCGAAATCGTCAAATTACGCACATGGATTAGAGAGGATTACTTTGACATCTTTCCTTTGCGATCTTACACTTTTTTGGCATCAATTTTATTTGCCGTGTTTGTATTTGTGTTAGAATTACTTCCTAAACCAAAAGCCGAATACGAGTTTATTGATGATGTTTCTGTGATTATTTTAATATTATTTACATATTATCATAGTTCTTTATTAAAAAAAAACAAATGTTGAATTATCTATTCATATTTTTACAGAAAGATTCTCCAGAAGAAAATGCCAATATTTTCTCCCGGCTGACTTTTTATTGGATGACACCACTGATGAAATTGGGTCATGAAAAATATTTAGTTCTTTCTGACTTATGGTACTGGTCTTTTTTTTGGACAAAAATATGGGATGTGTCAATAGAAATCAATCAAAAACTTTTTTTTTCTTTTTTTTTAAAAAAAAAGTTTCAACAAAAATTACTTAACAAAAATTTAACCAAGTTTGATAAAAACCTTTTAATTTGGTTTTATAAGCATATATAATTGATTTTTTATCAATTTTGTTCAAATTTTTAAAACAATATTATTATAGAAAATTTGCTTGATATCTATTGACTTATATATATATATATTATATATATATACGCGTATATTGCGACATATTGATTTATATCGTTATTTCTTAGGAATTTAAATTCTGAAGATCGATCAAAAACGATTTCCACAGGATTTGAAGCTGCCTGGAAAAAAGAACTATCGAAAAAAAAGTAATACTTCTATTGTTTTTTTTGATTTGTAATTTCAAGGTTATTGTTTACTATTATTGATATCTTACAACTTTTTTATTTTAGTCCTTCTCTATTTAAGGCTCTCGTTATCTCATTCGGTGCACCATTTGCTTTTGCTGCGGTAGGTTTTGTTAATATAAAATTAATTATTTTCGGTTAAAAGCTTCATGTGACACTCATTTTTATCTTTAAATTCTTATCCAATGCATATAAATATATAAAGTTCTTCAAAGCTATTCAGGATATATTAAATTTTGTGCAACCTCAATTATTGAAGCAAATTATGATCTTTGTAAGCAGCCAAGATGATGAGGACAAACCTTCTGCGCTATGGGGTTACTCTATTGCTGGTGAATATTAAAAAAAATTTTGTATATTTTTCTTATTTATTTGAATACTTATTTAAATTTTTTTCTGATCCTTTTTGTTTAAAACAGCAATGATGTTTTTGACTGCAGTTCTTCAAACCATGTTTTTACATCAATATTTCCATCTATGTGCAATGTCTGGAATGAGGGTATTTGGGGTTTTCACGCACACTTAATTATTTATCTTAATAATAAATGTATATTTATTTGTAATTTTTCTTTTTAAAATTAGGCACGTGCTGGATTGATAACCTTAATTTACAAAAAAGCCATTCGTCTTTCAAATAGTGCGCGTCAAGGTTCAACAATTGGTGAAATTGTCAATCGTACGTACATTGTTATTTTAGCATACTTATTTATTACAAAGAAAATGTTAATCATTTTTTTGAATTCCTACAGATATGAGTGTTGATACTCAAAAAATCGTGGATTTGACCATGTACTTACACATCGCATGGTCTGGTCCTCTACAAATAGTTATTGCTTTATACTTTTTATATCAAACCATGGGTGTGAGCGCATTTGCTGGTGTCGCTGTTATGATATTAATGTTGCCTTTAAATGCTTTTTTTGCCGGCATTATGAGAACTTTACAAAAACGACAAATGAAAAATAAAGATGAAAGAATTAAATATATGGCAAGATATCTAAACTTAAAACTATTTTATTCATGCATTTAGTGAAAGTTTTTAGTACTAACTCCTTATGTATATGTTTCAAGAATGAAATTCTTAATGGCATCAAAGTTATCAAACTTTATGCTTGGGAGTCTGCCTTTTTAAAAAGGGTAATTTTTATATTTTAAATGTTTATCTTCAAATGTTAGTAGTTCTTATTGTTATTTTTCATATTTGGTAGATCTTTGAAGTAAGAAATGATAGAGAACTTAGTACTCTTAAAAAACTTGGTTATCTAGCTTCCGTGCAGAGTTTTACTTGGGCTGCTACAGTGAGCTCATTTTTTTTACTTCATTTTTGTTAAAAATTATTTATACATTCATATTATATTAAATTTATGTATTTAATAGCCCTTCCTGGTGTCTTTTGCCACTTTTGCCGTCTATGTCATGATATCGGATCAACCGTTAACAGCCGAAGTTGTATTTGTAGCTTTGGCGTTGTTTAATCTGCTCCAATTTCCACTTGCATTATTTCCAATTGTAATTGCTTCTGTTGTCGAAGCGGCCGTTGCTATTGGCAGAATTAGGGAATTTTTAAGAGCCGAAGAACTGAATCCTAACGCTATAACTCGCGAGCAATATACTAACACAGATGGCGTAGAATTAATATCTGTTAAGAATGGGGCTTTTAAATGGTCACAAAATTCCTCGACACCAGTTTTAGAAGATATTAATTTTAGCGTTAGAAAAGGTGAACTAGTAGCTATTGTTGGTCAAGTTGGTGAGTTTATCAATTTTTTGACTATTTGCGCGTAATAACGCGCAGGGGTGTAATTTCGAATTTCGGCCTAAATTAAGCTTAATTCGGGCCATTACTCGAAATAACGCCCCGGCCCGCTATTACGCGGTATGCGCGTTATTTCGCGAAAATACGATAATTTTTGAAGGGCTTTGTAATTTACCGCTATAGCGATGTATCTATGTCAAAATTCTGAACGACAAAGTTCCAAAAGTCAAAATCCTGAAACTTAATTGTCGCGTCGTGTGATGTGGGTTCTAATATTCAAACCCAGCTTATGATTAGTAATCTATATTACCTGTTACTAATCATAAGCGAACGTTGGAACCCGACGTCACGCGACGTGACCATTAAGTCGATATGCGATAAATTATTAAATTCATTTTGGAAATATTCACAATCTAACGCTAAACATAAATTTATTTTAGGTTCCGGTAAATCTTCATTATTATCCGCTCTCTTAGGTGAAATGGAAAAAATATCCGGTGAAGTTACTGTTCGTGGATATACTGCTTATGCGCCACAATCAGGTAAAAAAATGGTGGTATTTTTATTTTATTTATTTTATTTTGAATCGTTCATTAATTGAGTTTTCTGTAATTTTAGCTTGGATCATGAACGCTACTCTTAGAGATAACATTACTTTTGGACTTCCATACGAACCTAAATTTTATGAAGGTTCTTATTTTCATGCCTCCATGCTATATGTCAAATTACTGTCTATTCTTTTTACAAATGAATTAATTTGCTTTAAATCTTATAGAGGTCATTGAAGCATGTAGTTTGAAGCCTGATATAGAAATTTTGCCAGGTGGAGATTTAACAGAAATAGGTGAAAAGGGAATTAATCTTTCTGGTGGACAAAAGGCTAGAATCTCGCTTGCTCGTGCAGTTTACGCGCGGGCTGATCTCTATTTGTTCGGTAACGACCTGAATTGATATGTCAACTTAATGTTGTATAGGATTGTTGCCAAGTATATATAACTTACTTCACTTTGCCTTTAGATGATCCCTTATCTGCTGTTGATGCACATGTTGGTAGGTCTAAATAATATTTATGTATTTTATCCTGTTTGGTTCAAGAATTCCTTCTTTTTACAATCAAAATCAAATCGATTTAAATATAAATGTAAATCTTTTTTATAGGAAAACACATATTTGATAATGTTATTGGTCCAACTGGACTTCTTCGGACAAAAGCTCGGGTGTTTGTTACTAATGGAATACATTTTCTTTCTCGCACGAATTCGCTTATCATGTTGCGGGAAGGAAAAATTGTTGAACAAGGACATTTTGATAATTTAATGAAGCAAAAACAGGATTTACACAACTTAATCATTGAGTATGGTCAACAATCTACTGAAGATGATGAGGAAATACAAAGTCCATCTTTAGTAGAAACTTATGAAATTGACGAGGCAAATGTTGACTACCGAAATGAAGAAATTTCTCGAAGTCCACGAGAAAGACGGGTTAGTGTTATGAGTTTACGTCGGCGACCTTCTCTTCTTACTACTGTTACTACTGCTAGTAAAACTGACGCTGAACATGGAAAGGATACTCTTATTCTAAGCGAAGACATTATCAAAGGCAAAGTTTCATGGGATGTTTATAAGACATATATAAATTCATGCTCGTTTTCTGCAGTAACATTTTATATATTCATGTTGATGATCTCTCAAGGCGCTCAAATCGGTGATTTGCCATTTAACATTCCTTCATAATTATATTTACTTTATATCATATTAATCAGTGATTATTATATATATATATATTAGGCATGAACGTATTCCTTAAATATTGGAGTTCACAAAATGATACTGACAATAGCCATGCATTGCTTTATTTGTCTATATACTGCGCTATTGGCCTTGCATATTCTCTGTTGACCATTAGTCATACAATAGTACTTTGGGTATTTTGTGCTATTAGGTTAGTTTATATTGACATATGAGTCACGTTACCTATTCTTAATCGATAGATTCATTCACCTTTCTCTATTACAGAGCCGCTCGTATTTTGCATGAAAAAATGTTAAATAGTATTGTGAGGTATGTTTAAATCTTTCACCCGTGAATTATTTGATGCGTCATTAAGAATCTCATTATGTATGGTCTACTACCATAATTAATCATATATATACTCAAATTACAGGTCTCCAATGTCCTTTTTTGTAAGTTAATACAGAATTTTTTATATTCGAATTTTGATATTTTTATGCCGATTACTAACTATGTAATTTTTGAATTTATAGGATACAACACCTTTGGGTCGCATTCTGAATAGATTCAGCAAAGATCAGTACACTATTGATGAAGTTCTTCCACGTATATTTTCTGGATATTTCAGGACTTCATTTGTTGTTTTAGCAACAATAACTGTTATTTCGTTTGCCACACCTGCGTTTACCTTTATTATTGTTCCGATGTGTAAGGATATATTTTTATTTTACTTCCTTTTTTGTCAATTTTGTTTAACTACGTTTTTAAATTCTAATTTTTATATATTCTTTCCTTCTACATAAGTATTCATATACAATTATATCCAATCGTATTATTTATCAACTTCCAGAGAATTAAAAAGACTGGATTCTTTAACAAGATCTCCTATTTATTCCCATTTTCAGGAAACTTTGGGGGGTGTAACTACTATTCGTGCTTATCAACAATCGCAAAGATTCATTGTTGAAAATGAGATTCGATTGGACGAAAATCAAAAAGCCTATTATCCATCTTTATCTTGTAATAGATGGTTAGCCATTCGATTAGAATTTTTAGGTAAAGTTCTGCTTGACCTGTTAATTTTGTGACATTTATATAATGTGTGTAATAATCTATATTTCATATGTAATTTTTTAAAAACTTAGGGTCTTTGATTATTTTTAGTGCATCACTTTTGGCCGTTATTTCGTCCGTTACCTCCAATAATATTGATGCTGGACTTGTTGGTTTATCATTGTCTTATGCGCTCAGTGTTACACAGGCCTTGAATTGGATGGTTCGGCAATTTTGTGAAATAGAGGTATAATAATAATTTATCAAATTTATCTTATTGATCGTTCTTACAAACGTAATTTATTTAAATTACTGTTGCTATCTTTAATATAATTAGACAAACATTGTATCAGTGGAAAGAGCAAAAGAGGTGAGATTTGAATTATCATTTTTTTCGTGATAGTTAACTTTTAAATATGCAATATATTTACATAAAAAATTTTTTTATAGTATATTGATTTACCTAGTGAAGCACCTCCAGTCATAGATCATTATCGTCCTTCACTCACGTGGCCCCAAAACGGGTTAATTGAATATAAAGATTATTCGACTAAGTATAGACCTGGCCTTGAACTAGTGTTGAAGGTTTGTTAATTTTGTAGTAGAGATAGATTTATAGCAATGTTTATATAAATGTTTGTCATAATAAATTACTTTATTTACAAAGGGAGTATCATTCGTGGTAAAACCAAGAGAAAAAATTGGAATAGTTGGAAGAACAGGAGCTGGAAAGTCTAGTTTGACACTAAGTTTATTCAGATTAATAGAGGCGGCTGGTGGTGCTATTATTGTGGTATTTATAATAAAATCATTTAAATCATTAGTTGCTTTATTAGCAGCAGGACTATTTTTAATTATCACACACAATTATAGGATGGTATGGATATATCAAGAATCGGGTTATATGATCTTCGTTCACGCCTTACCATCATACCTCAAGATCCAACTCTCTTTGAAGGTAATAATTATATTATATCCTTATTTATTTATACAATACACATTCATTAACATATATTTACTATTATTACGATCTATAGGAACAGTCCTATTTAATCTTGATCCATTCTCAACACGCGACGATGTGGAGATTTGGCAAGCTCTTCAAAGTGCACATTTGAAAGATTACGTTTCTCAATTAGATGGTAAATTACATGCTAAAGTTATAGAGGGTGGAGATAATTTTAGTCAAGGACAAAGACAACTTTTATGTTTAGCAAGGGCATTATTACGGTATGTAAAGGCTGTAGGATCATATCAATTTCTCAGGTTAAAAAATAAAATCTAACCCTTTGGTTTAATAGGAGGTCACCTGTTATTGTGTTGGATGAAGGTTTGTCGTTTAAACTATGTTAATCTCAAATTTTACAATTTTTAATACTGTGCATTGATTTAATTTTGTTGATTAGCTACTGCAAGCGTTGATGTTGAAACGGATGCTAAAATACAAAAAACTATTCGAACTGAATTTAATTGGGCAACATTATTATGTATTGCTCATAGACTAAGAACAATAATAGACTACGATAGGGTAAGTCATAATGAAATTAATATCTAATAATAGTTATAACTTATTTTGATCTAAATTTTCTTTATGTATCATGTATTCTCAGGTTTTGGTTCTTGGTAAGTTGTAATTTTTATAATTTCAATTATGATCTAAATAGCTGTTAAAATTATTCATACCCTTTTTCTTGAATTCATATCCAATAGATCGGGGTAAAGTGGCAGAATTTGATACACCATACAATTTGCTTCAAAATAAAAACAGTGTGTTCCGACATTTATGTGAAGAAAGCAATGAATTTGAATATTTAATGGATCTTGCTTCAAAAAGAGTTCATGCCACTAAGTGAAAACGAATAATTTTGAATCTTCTTTTTATAGAGTTAATCTGAACAATAATGATGGCATTATCATCGATGATGTTTTGATATTAGGTGTAGGAACTAGGTTTTGTCTTAGAATAGCATTCGTCTGTGATGTATAAGTAATTTGTATGTAGTATTTTTGTTTCAAGAGAACATTAATATTAAAAAAAAAAAAAAACTTTATAGACATGTAGATAATCGAATGCTTTATAGTCTAGCACTCCCCTTAGTCCGTCCGTCTTATAAGGCAAAATTTCCCCAAAATTATCATAATTAATCAGTGATCGAGCTATCAAACTATATATATATATATATATATATTGGATCATAATCTATATCATAGCTACATTAATGTATAAATTCTCCTGCATTTAATGAATAAAGATTATATTCAAGAAACGTTACAGTAAATTTTAGGGGAAATTACAAATAAGGGCCCAAAATTGAAAATAATTACAAATAAGGGCCCAAAATGAAAATATATTGTTAGCTGAAAAAGCTGGTCTGAACATAATAACGTCATGATTAATTAGACGTTTAAGAATTTCGTTATATCGAATTCATTAAAAAAAAAAAAGATTAATAGCTTTAACAGCACAAATTTTGAATATAATATTACTATGCAAGCATAATTACATGTTATGGATACTATTTAACATTAAATGTCGCGGCTGAAGCTTGAAACGGCTGAAGCTTGAAATTTTAATTATTTTAATATGAAATTTTTAGAAATTTTTG